AGCTGGAGGGAGCAGGAGGGAGGGAGGGAAGCAGGGGGGGATGGAGGGATGTGGAGAAGGGTGGAGGAATATGGAGGGGATGGATGGGAGGGTTGGAGGGATTTGGGGGCGGTGGCGAAGGGGAATGAGGGGTGAAGGGATGCAGGAAAGGATGCAGGAAGGGAGGGACAGATACCGAGGGGATGGGTGGGTGTGGGAGGAATGGATGAGGAGGGATGGAAGAACGGAGTGATGCAGGAAGGGATGGACAAGCTGGGGAGATGGATGGGTGCAGAAGGGCTGTGGAAGGATGGGAGGATGGATAAGGGGGATGGATGGTGACAGACCCTCCCCTCTGGTGTAACCTGACCCTTGGATTGCGCTGTGACGCTGCTGCCAGGGTCTGGGAGAGCTCACTGGGGGTTTGCAGGTCGGGCCGGGGGTCTCTGGGCTTGTGGAGCTGGATATTCCTCATGCCCATGGCAGTGGGATCGTGGGGAGACCCATCTCCCCTCTGAGCACCCCGAAGCTCCGGGGTGGGCAGTCAGGATCCTCCCTGCCAGGCAGCGCCAGCCTCCACAAAGATTCCCAGCTCTGGATTGGGCTTGGAGGGCCCATCTGAGGTCTGAGGTCCCGGGTGAGGTGTCCTGGTGCCCCTCAGGCAGGGGGAGCCGGGAGCCTGTGTGGGGAATTTTGGTGATCCCGTTTGTGGGAGCTCTGGGCTGTGCCAGTGGGAGGAGGCAGCGCTGCCTCGGAGCCCTGGCTCTGGAACAGGTGGATTTGGTGCTTCAGGCTGGGCCAGCCCCGGCTGCCACTGGTTTTAAATCCTCAGAGAATCCTAAAAACCAGCAGTTTTGGTGAAAGAGGGAATTTAAGGGTTTATATCAAGGTGTGGCCACATCAGCCCAGGGCTTGGCAGCACCCAGCCCTGCACAGAGGGATGTAGGACAGAAGGACAGGCCTGGAGCCCCTGGAATCCATCCATCCATCCATCCATCCATCCATCCATCCATCCATCCATCCATCATCCATCCATCATCCATCCATCCATCCATCCATCCCTCAATCCATCCATCCATCCATCCATCCATCCATCCATCATCCATCCATCCATCCATCCATCCATCCATCATCCATCCATCCACTCCATCCATCCATCCATCATCCATCCATCCATCCATCCATCCATCCCTCCATCCATCATCCATCCATCCATCCATCCATCCATCCATCCAGTTTCAGCACCAGATGTAAATCACGCTGGTCTCAGTCCTGGAGCCTCCCACTCACAGTGTTGGGATCCAGCTGGGATCTGGGCTGTGGGAGCTCACTGGCCGTGCACAGCTCTCCCTTAGAGCCTCTCCTGGCAAGGTTGGAGCCGGTTCTGGCCAGGAAACCCCAGGGAGCAGGAGAGGGACGGAGGGAGCCAGGCAGGGATGTGGGGACAGCGGGGAGGACCCAGCCCGAGGCCGCTCCTGGCTCTCGCATCGGCCGCACGTTCCAGGCTCTCGGCAAATCCCATCGTTCGACATTTTCCAGTTCATCTTGGAAGCAAATGCAATTATCTCCCATTGCAGGCAAGGCTGATTGGGGATATTTATTTGAGGCCTTGAGCGGTGGCTGCGGGGGCCGAGGTGTAGCGAATTCCAGCCCGGATCCGAGCGCTGCCCTAATTGGGGACGCGTGAGGGGCAGCGCCGCGGGCACAGCGGGCACAGGAGCCACCCCGAGCCCTCCTAAACACCGAGCCGAGCGCTCCTAAATGATCTCATTAGCGGCGGGAATCAGGCTGGGAATTGTCCGTGCGGAAAAATGTACAGGGAGGGTGAGAGGCGACAGATCCTGGCTGGGATTCAGTCGTGGAGAGGGGGTGGAAGGTCCTGCCCCGTGTCCAGCCCAGCTGGGAAATTCCAACAATAACCTCGTGGCTTCTCCCGCTGGATGAGCGTTGTGGGCACAGCAGCAGCGATGCCATTTTGGGGACAAATTGCAGCTTTTGCCCGTTTTCCTGAGCTGGAGCAGGTGGTGGCCGCCTCTCCCCTCCCCTCCCAGCCTCAACAATTCTCCAAATCACTTTTAAAGTCTCATGGAGAACGTTTGGCAAAAGGGAGGAAATGTTTTGAAGCTGGGCAGGGTTGGGGTTGGTCGGTGCCAGGTGGATGCCGCAGCATCTTGGAGGAAGCCGGTACCCGGCGCTACCGTTGCCATGGGAACGCCGTTCCCAAATTCAGCCGGATGAGTTGCAAAATCTGCTCGGGGCTTGAAGACAAATCCTTCTTTCAGGAGAGCACCCGGGAGCTCGGGGGCTGCAGCGAGGGGGGGATGTTGGTGGGCTCAGGGGAGGTTTCGGTGTGAAAATCGGTGTTTTTGGGGGTCTGATCTTGTCGGGCACCTCCAGGCACAGCCTGAGCTCCCTCCCAGAGGGCGGCGAAGCCAAAGTGCGGCAAAACGCGGCCGATTACCCGGGGGCAGGAATTAATCTGCTCCGGGAGCCAGGCAGGGAGATGGAATTGCAAATGAGCCCCGGAGCTCTGGGCTGATTTCACCGTCCAGCGCTCGGGAAACGCGATTAACTCGAGCCGAGGTGGCTGAGGGGCACGGAGGGGACGCGGCGGTGTCACCTGGCAGGAGCTGTCTGGTGACATCGGGATCGGCCGGGATGGGACCCCGGCAGTGTCGCTGCTGTCGCCCAGAGGCTGCGAGCGGGGACACGGCGGCTCCGGCCCGTCGTGAAAGCCGCTTAAGGATTTAAACCCCCTGTAGAAGTCGGGTTTAATTAAAATAGCCTCAGCAGGGAAGGATGCGGGAGGGGGGCGCAGGAGGAGGGGGATGCGGGAGAGGGAACCATCAGGAGGGGCTGCAGGAAGGGGATGAGGGGTGGGGATGAAGGAGAGGGGTACAGGAAGGAAATTCAGGAGTGGGGGGATGCAGGAGGAGGATGCTGGAGGAGGGGGATCCATGAAAAATGTGATCCAAGAAGAGGGGGGTTTAGGAGGAAGGGAATTCGGGAATGGGGGGATGCAGGAGGAAGGGAATTCAGGATGAAGGGAATTCAGGAATGGGGGGATGCAGGAGGAAGGGAATTCAGGAATGGGGGGATTCAGGAGGAAGGGAATTCAGGAATGGGGGAATTCAGAAAGAAGGGAATTCAGGAATGGGAGGATGCAGGAGGAAGGGAATTCAGGAAGAGGGAGAGCCATGAAAAGCAGGATCCATGAAGAGTGGGATCCACACTGAGCTCCCAGGGCCTGGCACTGCCAAAGGTGCTGGTGGGGGGCACAGGGGGAGCGGGACCCCCAGCTCTGTGCCAGCCTCACGCCCCCCCTGCCCTCCCAGGGGAGCCACCTCGGTGGTGTTCAGCTGCCAGGAGAAGGGCACGGGAGCTCCCTACGCTGCCAAGATCCTGAAGAAAACGGTGAGCGAGGCAGGAGAGGGGCTGGGGAGGGGAAGGGGGAGCATCAGGGAGCCCGGGGGGCAGGGCTGGTGCTGTCTCTCCTCCCCTGCCCCTCGGCACCGGGGTGGGGCTGGCACCGGGCACCGCTCCCACAGCCTGGGGGTCCCACGGGGACAAAAGCGCTGGGATTTGGGATTGGGGTGGGCTCCGGGACAGACTTGGGAATGTGCTGGGGGTAACGAGGGGGTCT